CTCCGAGACTCCACGGGACTCCGTGGGTCTCCACGGAACTCCGCGGGACTCCACGGGACTCGTCGGGACTCCAAACACATATGGAGTCCCGAAGTCCATGTTAACTGATTCATACATTTTTTTTCAAATACGTTTCTTATGGCCAATGAGACGATGAATTGTGAAAAATCATAGAGATTTGAGCCAATATCACGCGGTATGCATCACTGCTAGTTCAGAACAGGGAACTGGGTATATATTTAATTAATCTATGCTGATTAAATCGTCGGTTATTTAGGAGTGCCCTCAAGTCCTCAAGATCTATACCATGGAGGTACTCTTAGGTCCTCAAGTCCTCTATTGCGATGGTGCCTTCAGATCATCAAGTCCTATATAATGGGGACACCTATAGTTCCTCAAGGGCTATTTCCTTGACCGTAGTCAGAATCTTAATCTCGAAAATGACTGTGTGCTTTTGTGTTTGTCCGCAAGGTGGGAGTTCAAATCTACAGTCAAGGGACGCAGTGGATCACCTTGATCCACGGTAAACTCTTCTCGCAATAGAAGGCATCTCCGTATTACAAGGTCCCTATTTAAAAGGCACCCAAAAAAGGTTTTTCGCGAGAATTGTGTGTATTTTGCGGGGAATTTTGGTGGAATTAGGACCGAATGTAACTCGCATAATATAAGGTCCAGGACGTTTTATTGCGAAATGGGTTTATTTGTATATAAATCATTATAGAAAAGGCATTGCGCTATTTATTCATGCAAAAGAATTCTCCATGTTAATTCATTTATAAAATTGTCAATAATGTTGCTAGAGCTTTTTGTCAGACTTAAGAATTATATAGAGTTGCCGATAGGTCCTGAAGGGCAGGGTTCACGATTGGTTTTGAGAATGGAGCGGGCAGGAGTACAAACTTCTCAGAGACGCCACCATCTTAAGCGGACAAAGCCAATGTTGCTTCTGTTCGATTTCTTGCCCAAAATCGAAGTTATGTGTCCCATATTTCTTGTATAGATTTCAAAGTTTAGGAGAAAATGCGGCATCAATATGATAGAGTTTCTGTGAGAAATATATAAGGAAGGACTGCGGTTTCTGCGACATGTTAGACCTAAATAACGTGAATGTTCGGCAAGTATTTGGTAGAGACCATGTCTCATTTAATTTGGTTACAGCAAATTGATGTCTTTTCGGGATTTTCGGTCTTCGCCAATAAGACTTTCTCCAATAGGCCCGCTGAATTTCGCTAGTTGGCGAGATCTCTCTGTACTTTCGTCAACACTTCTTCTGACATTTCGCCAATTGAATTAGGAATCGCATTCATATATATCTTACGTCAACATTGTTTTGTGACATTTGGCGAAAGTACAGTGGACTTTTGCCAGTGCCCTCTTTGGAATTTCGTCAATTGACAAAAGTACAGTGAACTTTCACCAATATATCCCTGGATTTTCGTTACTGACGAATGTCCTCTTGACGAAAGTCTTATTAGTGAAATTTAGATAAACCATGTTTTCTACGATAGTGTTGTTATCGATTTCCTAGAAAGTATTATCAATGCTTTTTGCAGAAAGTGTGAAGTTCGTTACGTACAAGGCTTGTCATTCCTCAACTCGGGAATCCTCCTCAAAGCATGTAGTAAATGGTGCACAGAGATTCTCAAGGCACATACTACTGGAATCTCGCTTGCTACATGCTCTGAGAGGCTATGGCTACCCTTGCGAGAGAGTGCGTAAAGACCTATGGTTGTTTCTCTCGTATAGCTCTGCGGGCACTATGAGTACTCCTATATAATACGGCTTGATATTTTGTGGGTACGGCTATCGTATAGGCTTTCAGGACCTATCTCTAATTCTGTACAATAGTCCTTGGGGACTCTTCGGTACCTCTGTATAATAGACCTTGCGGACCTAAAGATACCCTATTATATAGGACTTCACAAGGGGGAGAAAGCTGACTCCAGTCCCTTGTAGTCCCGTGGAGTCCCTTGGAGTCCCGTGGAGTCCCGTGGAGTCCCATGGAGTCCCTTGGAGTTCCATGAAGTCCCGTGGAGTCCTGTGAAGTCCCTTAGAATTCCATGAAGTCTAATAGAACTCTCAAGAGTATCATGAGTAAACCTTATAGCTGCTTCACGAAACTCTTTTATCTAGCTCTCTTTCATCACTTTGAACGTCAGAAAGAAAAAATAATTTCTAAAATATATGAACCTTTGGTGGAAACACATTTTTTCATCATCTTCTGCCTGCATCAGACTAAACTCATTCTATAACTATCCTTCGAATAAAATAACGCTTCTCTTTGACTGTATGTAATTCATGTAATTGATCTATGTTGATTAAATCAGCCATTGTTTCGGAGTACCTTTAGGTTCTCGAGTCCTATATAATGGGGTACCCACAGGCGAGTGTGGGTGTGGGTGGGGTGTCGGTGTTGCTATATAATGAAATATCCACACCCACACCCACACCCCACACCCACACACCCACACCCACACCCACACCCCACCCAGCTTCGCTACGATTATTTATTATTCTTACTCTCCGAAAATATAGTTAATATAGATAATGGATAGTTTTGTAAACGTTATGCTGCTCCGAGCTTTGAAAAATAAAACAAAATAAAATATGATGGACATATATATGTATAGAGAGAGAGACAATCAATGGTCAGACATGACGTACATGTATAATGAATGAACATACACGACGTATATACATAATGAATGGACATATAGGACGCACATATATATATATATGTATATATGTATGTATACTTTTTTTTTTCGTTCTGTGACCAATCATATGAAAGTTCCTGAAGAAGAAAACTTGTACAATATAATATAGATGTTATGGTTATTTTACTAATCGCGAGTGAATATTTTCATTTTACATTTTTTGAGAAAAATATTTAAAAAGTGATCTTCAATAAAATATCTAAATAATTTGTAAGTTTATCATATATATTTTGAACTGTTAAATCATTCAGATATTTTATTGAAAAACACTTTTTAAATATTTTTCTCAAAAAATGTAAAATGAAAATATTCACTCGCGATTAGTAAAATAACCATAACATTATCTTACATTTGAGCATTTCGAGATATTTTTTTTTCAGATGGTAGCTCTACTCTTTCTCTACAAGATCACATAATTTGATTCAATTAACTATATAAAAGTGTGCCATAAATACTATCAATTTACTAAGAGGGGTCGAAACTTTCTGATCATCCTTTAGCTAGTCTATGAAATTCACACAGTTCCTAGAGTTTAATTTTTAGAGACTCTTATTCTATAGGAATTCATGTCATTTTTCAATATTCGAAAAAAAACTGCTGTTACTATTGCAACAATATTTTTAAAAAATAGCGCTTCGTTATACATTTCTTATAAGATCTGCTGTTACTGCGCCATGATGGACGCCTTCCTGCATTTTGAAACTTAATTTGATGAATCGTCTCAACGCAGGAAAAATTTGTATAAAATGGTATTGGATTATAGTTATATTAATATAACAAATATCGACCTAACATTCGTTGTAACTTATGAAAGAAGACGAGAGATATTCATTTAAAAAATATGTCACATATGTCACACAATTCTGTTTATATGTTATAATCGCTTTAAAAGATAATAGTCTGATGTGAAGCTTCTCGCTATGGCTTCAAGAAACAGCTGAAGCAACAATTTGGAATCAAAAAGACGCTTTCTGCTTTATTTCTGCTTTTGGAGAATAGAATTTCTGTCCTTTTCTGTTTTTCCAATTTCGTTTTCTGCTTTTTGAGCGCTAGAAGGTAGCAGCACTGTTGTCGAGCTTCATGAGTTATTAACTGATATAACTATCAGTTGGGCCAACAGTTGGTAAAAGAGTGAATTTGTCTTAATCAAAGTTTGCATTAATCTAGCAGACCCATAGGTCAAAGGTCGAAGGTCAGAAGTTAAAGGGTAATGGCAGTGGAGTTGACCTGTGAGTTTTTATTTTAACATAGACACGCAGACACTCACCATTCAATATCAGTCTACGCAGATCTATCACAAGTTAATGATAATGATATGACTCATAAAAATGATGAAAACATAAAAATTTTTTACAATTAACAAACGCACATTTTATAAACGAGCTTCTTTTGTTGATAAATGTTATTTGTGGTATTTTTAGGAAACATTATATATATATTTATAGAGAGAGAGAGAAATTCACTTGAACATATTCTCATAGGTCAACTCTACTGTCATTGTCCTTTAACCTTTGACCTTTGGGTCTGCTAGATTAATGTAAACTTTGATTAAGACAAATTCACTCTTTTATCGACTGTTGGCCCAACTGACAGTTATATCAGTTAATAACTCAAGAAGCTCTACAATTTGGGAAGACTAAAATTTACAAAGCGATTGATCAGTTCTGAACGTTCCCTCGTCAGTCTAATAGTTTCTATTTTGAGATGCGATATGGCTAACAATTTAATTTGTTATTGCCTTTGATTTAAAATGATTCTATGAATATCAGCAACTAATACTACACATGTTTGTCATTTTAAATTTAGACAAGCACACTCCATATTTTTTACCTGAACAATTATGGAAAGTAAAAAGGATGCGAGTGGCTCCTACAATAAAACCATTACTCTTTCCTATGAACTCATTCAAACTCGTGGAAAGTTTTTTAACAGTTCATCGTTTCGTACATATTTCCAAGAGTATCTACTAACAACACACAATATTCGATGTCAAATCCAAATGTTGGAAACACAAGAAATATATTTGAGTTTGACGGGCGAGAAACCAAACGTAAAAGCCGCTTGTCAAACTATTCCGGATTTATTCAAACTTACACAAGAAAAAGTGTACGATGATGAACGGACTAATCAGCAAAGTAAATTAATCTGTCTTCGATACCTATTTCTGATATTCTTCTTTAAGTGATTTATTGGTCGGAAACTATTAAGTCAGATTTAGTTATTCCCGTCATACAACAAATAATAGATCAACAGAATATATTTACACTATGGGAAAAAACAGCCATGTTCTGCGGTCACTTCAAAGTCACTTATTTTACTCATGAATCATTTAAAGTCTCTGAAAGTCGTATTGCGGAAATATTAAAAAATGAAATAGCCTATGTTGAAAATATGGATATCCCTGAAGAGAAAAGTAAAAGTTTGTTGAATAGTATTGATCAATTCATCGTTAATAACCAACATCCAGAATTAGCTATTATTCGTTGTAAATATCCATATAAATTAGACATTAAGATCAGCTTATTTGGAAGAAAATCATTAGTAAGAAAAACTAAAAAGAAATTACAATCCATTATCAACAAGCATACTATGAAAACCGTCCAATTAAAATTGACTCCTGAAGAAGTAAGACTGTCGCTGAAGTATTCAGAAGAAAATGAGGTTTTTTCTTACTTCTTTTAGCATGAATATGCAATAGAAAATTGTATCGATGAACTGCAAGATATTGAGAATGAATACAAAGATGATAATGTTAAAATACGAATACGACTAAAAGAATTTAGTGCACCTCAATATTTAATTGAAACAATCAAAGAAAAACTAAAAGGACTTATGGTTCAAAAAACTATTTTTCAATATCAAAAAATTGGAAATTCGATAGAATTAACTGATAATCACAGTGACGAGTTGAAACGAATTGCAAGACAAAACTATTGCCGAATAGAAGGAATAGAAACAAAAACTGGAATGAAACTTTATTCGATTCCAAAAGCTTTGTCACAATCGTCGAATGTATCAAGTTCTATAGTACAAAATTCAAATGAATTCATCTCTTCATTATCAGCGAGAAAAATATCCATAATGAATGGTTCAATCGAAATTTATTTAACAAATCAAAGTAATACTATACCGGTAAGATGAATGTTTTCTTTTCATGATATTCTGATTCATTACGGAATACGATGCCACACTCCTTAGTTCATCATTTTGTTCAGTGACACTAAAAGTAAATTTCCTTGAAAAATGATAAGTTTCAAAACATATTGATAAAACATTTTTTGATGAAGTTGTCACTGTCTATTATTAGTTATTTCACTATGCACTTAGAATTAGAGTAAACATCAGTTAATCGGCTAGATATTAAGTATTCAGATTTTAGCATTGTTTCATGCTATGTTAATATTCATGGTTTTTCCGTTTATTTCGGCTCCTTAAACTATAAAAAGTACTCGAGCTACCTGTGAAACACGTTCTATAGTTATGTAGATCTGTCATTTCTTTGATGATTTTTACCTGTCGAAAATTTTAGAGAGATGTAACGATCATTTCATCTCCAGCAGCAGCTACCGAAGAACATATTGACTACTTGAGTGATAATGGATATTTCGAAATGAAAGCAGGCAAAAAGTTTCTTTTTCATCGTTGGGCTCCGATAATGTCAAATGATGATAAAGCAAGCAAAAGACTTAAACGATCTATTGAAAAATTCATTTCTTCAACTTTACAAAGTATTACAACATGTTTTCAAAATGTACAAAAAATACTATACTTAACAAATGAATGGGAAAACGTTGGTACTCAATACCAAGAACAATTAGCTACTAATTTGATCAATGAAGTTAAACAAGAGCTTGAGACACGAAAGAATAATTGGCAAATTTTACTTATTTTTAATGATCAGCAAATAAATTTGCATAAAGAGTTTCAAAAAGTTCTAGTTCAATTACAAACTGATAAAGATGGATTTGCTCAAGTTGCCATCCCAATATCAAGTATGTTACTAATAAACTTAGTCTACTTCTTATCATGAGCTCATTTTTTTAAAATGTGTTCAACTGACATTAAGCTTTACATTAAGTTCGGTCCAGGAAAATTTTGGGCCCAGGACTTTCGGTCTACACTTACATGAAACTCACCAAATCGTAAAATAAATTATCTATTGCAATATCGAGCGAAACGTCGTAGTACTGAGTAATACAATATGGCCGAGTGAAAGATTCTTTTAATCTGGTTCACTCCGCGACACTCTCAAGTTATAATGAAACATGGGTCGCAAAGTTTCCGGAATTTCGGACCGATCCGAAATTCTGGTTCCTCGACATTAACAGCACTTGTTCTTGTGATAAATATCAAAAATTAATTCAAACGATCGAAATGCCCTATTGCATTTCTTGAAGATTTCTTAAGAGAAAATGAGTTTAGAAATATAGAGCTACATTCCTCTTTGTACATCATGCCAACAGAACTGAAACACTTTTTGTTGTTATAGTAATTCAAATAACATTGACAACATCATCAGAGTTCGATCTAGTGAAATGCGAAAATCAGATAAGTCAATATCTGCAAAGGCATATAACGGCAAACAAAATATTGAATAATGAATTAAATGTAAGACAGTGGGATCAACATATGATCAATGTTTTTTACAAATATTGTTTATATAAATCAGTATTACCTAACATCGATCTAACGAACAATTCACAGATTCAGTTAACTGGCTTAACAGCCGATATAGGAAAAACAGTAGAAAAATATAAATTAATGTCTATAAACTGGAAGGAAAAATCATCGTTGAATATTCCACCACCTGTAGCTCCAAGAACGTTAAATCGACACGGCAATCGTCCGAATCCTGTTGAATTGAAGGCGTACAATATTTATTTTAGTTATTGTCAATATGACCAAGCTATATGTAATCGTATCAATACTTACCTATATGGTGAAGGTTATTTGATTTGTGAAACACTGTCAAATATGTCTAAGTTTCAATCCTATGTCGACAAATCTGATGTCATTTTGGTTGCTTTCAGTGAAAAGTATTCAGAAAATGAACAGTCTTTAACAGAATTAAACTATGCCAAATCAGCACGTAAAAAAATGATTCCATTTGTTATTAGAAACAATGCAACCGAACATGCTTATCTTACCTCATTAACGCTTGCCGAGTCGTTCTATGATTTATTTGACATTGAAATGGATATTGAATTCAAAGATGATTTCGAACTCGAATACGAGAGATTATTGAATGAATTGGTAAGTATACCAAAAGACAAAAATCTATGAAAAGAGAACTGATTCTTACGAGGGAAGGCATACTGCTGATCAATCGCTTTTAAAGTTTTAGTCATACCAATTTGTAGAGCTTGTTGAGTTATTAACTGATATAATAATCATTCGTGTCAACAATACGGCTGTAGAGTAAATTTCTGATAATCAAAGTCTCCATTAACCTGTCCATACTCTATACTGGTCCTATAGAGGTCCTATAAAGGCCCTATAGAATCACTATAGGGGGAGCCTATATGAGTCCCTATAGTGATCCTATAGGGTTTCAAGGGGCTTGTAAGGTCCTGTAGGGACTCTACAGGGACTTACAGAATTCTATAGAATCATAGGGATCTCTATAGAGCCTCTATAGGATCCTGTAGGCTGCCATATAGGCCTCTATAGGCCCTATAGAGTCCCTACAGGACCTTATAAGCTCCTTGAAGCCATATAGGATCACTATAGGAACTCATATAGGCTCCCCCTATAGTGATTCTATAGGGCCTTTATAGGACCAGTATAGGGTATGGACAGGTTAATGGAGACTTTGATTATCAGAAATTTACTTTACAGCCGTATTGTTGACACGAATGATTATTATATCAGTTGATAACTCAACAGACTCTACAAATTGGTAAGACTAAAACTTTAAAAGCGGTTGATCAGCGGTAAGCCTTCCCTCGTTAGCTGGAGTTTCGGCAACCGAATTATTATATATCTTTAATTTCAGTTGCGTCATACAAAACCTGGTACTACGGGTAAAATCTATGCAGTCCCCAAAGTCTTGCCGAAAATTGCGCCAATTGATGTTGATTATGAAGAAGGTGTATTTGGTCATCAGTCAATAGCCTTACAGAATGTTACTGCTGAGCAACGTTCCAAGCGTGAAAGAACCTATCAAGAGCAGATGTTGAAAAAACTAGAAATGGAAAGAATTCCGGATGAGGATGTAGCACAATTATTTGGAGAGCTCGCATCAGTCACGGAATATTTAGAAGAAATTCTACGAAAAGGAGTTAATTACTCAAAACCAAGCCATGACAATGAGAATGAAATGTATTCAGAGGAACAAAGACAATGGCCGTTAGGTAAATGAATTCTAATACAGCTAGTACTAGTATTCAAAATGAATATATGTTTTTGTGTGTTTTGTTATAGAGGAGAACTTATTAAATTCCATGAAAGATTTCTTGAATTGCATAAGACGTTGGTTAAATAAAGCACCAAATGTAATCAAAGGAAATATCAAGCCATTTACACCTACTGGAGACATCAATGATGCTATTTTTACTATTAATAAATCTCCAAACAATCCAACATTTGCAGAAAACTATATCGCATTCGATCATTCACCACCTGAGAAATATTTTTCATTGTTTAGTTCTAATCCAGGTTTATGTCTTAATAATGACCAAACACATGAATATTACCAAATGTCAATTTATAGTGGTAAATTAACAAAGGACCTAGAAAAAAGAATGAATAGTAACAAAACAGCTGATATTTCTGATGAGGCCAGTCATCATGAAACAAAAATCGAAAATGAATTGCGAACATCAGAAGAAATGCAAAAACTTAACGAACTTGATAATCCAAATCGTATTTGGAAAAATTCACGATGTAAAAAGTTTATTGAACAGAAGATAAAAAATATTCTTGAATTAAACGAATTATGTGAAAAATTCAAATAAAATTTTGTTTATTTTTCTAGATTATAGACAAGACTAATGGATCTAGTACAAATACAATACCCTTCAGTTATTCGTCAGTATCGTCGAGAATTTACAAGATTGACAGTTTCAGAACTTGTACTATTCTTTGATAATGTTGTTTCCTACATGAAAAATCTCGTTTACACAAATGAGAGAAACGACACATTAGACATCCTTACATTAATTTCGGATGATTTTGCATCTTTCTACACTCTTCAATTATTCGATCATCCAGCTATCATTAATCATTCAATCTTTATCTATATTGGACGAACATTAGAAATGCTATTGACCAAAGCAAATCATTCACACTCAATACCAATGAAAAAATACGAAGAAGGTTGTCTTTATTCTATAAGTTATTTCGTTGCACAATTATGTTTATATCGAAATGAAGCAATTAAGTCCTTCTATGGATTATTTTCTGATTTAATCCCATCAGTAACAGATAAAATCAACGAAAGAGATGAAACAATCAATGAAACTAGTAGAAGATCAAACACAATCGCAGAAAAACCAAATCTTAAAGTGATTGGTCTACCTCCAAGTGCATCTAAAACACGTCCGATAGAAGAAAATGAATACGATATCACGAAAATTCCACATAGAAAAGCATTTTCTCAGCAACTGATTCCACCGCCGACTATTGAATTAGCAGAACCTGAAGTATTACCGATTGTGCGAACAAATTTTCCTCCAAAAACATATCAAGAAGTATTTTTTACCAAGTCATTGTTAACAAAACTGATTCGTGCTATCGATGATCTATCTCAAAATGAATATTCTCCATATCATGTTAAATATAAAGTAGTCGATAGACTTGTTCGTGTCTGCTCAACACTGAATCTTGTTGATAAATTACTTGATCCAATTGTGAAGTGTCTTCGTTCAAAATTCTATCGACAAGTTTTCACAATTTTAGAACCGGAACAACTTCGTTTTAGTCCTAGACAATTATTTTTCATTTACAGATGTACACAATTCATTATCCAGCATGAATTTCAACAACAAGAACAAATTCTTCATTCATTGTGTCAATCTATGATTGATGCGACGAAATCAATTGTGGAAAATATCATAACTTCATCTGGTAATTGATTTTAACTATTGTCTAATGTCAAGAAAATTTCAAAATAAACCAAACAGAATATTTAAGTGTAATAATACGATATTAGTCATTTAGTTCTACGAGGAATAATTAAAGATAAAAATTCACGCTATAGAATAGGTTAGTAAAGATAATCAAATCATGCGATTATGTGTAAGCATCAGAAGACTATCCTGATGATTATGCATTTCCTGTGTCGGTTTTCTATTTAATCTATATCCGATTGGTTTCATTTCAAATAAGTACTTGTATCGATACGCTTTTCGCATTCACATGCACTTCATATTCTCATTAAATCTGTTCCTTCAACTGTTCACAAAGCATACCGATAATCATCATGTTTTGTTTCGTTGCAGACTATAAAATAAATACTATGTATTTCGATGATCGAGAAGTAGCTCTATATGCACTACGTTGTCATTTGGAATTATTAACTCATTTTTCATTAACATCAAACGGTAGACGCTATTTCATTCAAAATGACATTATCGATCAATTAATTAATATCTTAACTCAAGATGCATTATTTGAAAATGCTTGCGAAAATGAAGAACTCTTTTATGCAGATGTAGCAGTTATTGCTTTTGCTCTGCTGCTATTATGCAATCTAGCTTACGAAAAACAATTCTTTTCCATATTAAAGAAAAAAGATTTTCAATACATTTATTCGAAATTGGCATCTGCAAAAGATCCTACGATAAAATTTGCTCATCAAACTTTATCAGCGATTTTAAGTCAAGACAAAATTAGTGAGGCAAACGAACCAATGAATTTGAAAAAGAGGTTAGCCGAGGATTTGGAGAAACATATTGTTGAAAAACAACTTAAAGAAAAATCAGGCTTTGCAAAAACTCTTGCAGGTAGAAATCTCTTTGGTTAAAATAGCTTAGAACAAATTTTCATCTTTTAGAAGAAGCTCCTCAGGTCAAACTTCGTTTCATCAATGATACATTTCTGAATAATTTACAGCGGGAAATCGAACATTTATCAACAACAGAATATGATTCAAACAAATTGAAGTACAAAAACGCTGGACGACGTGTTCGAGTTGTAGCCGCACAGGAAACGAGCGAAGTTGAACCACTCTTAGATCCAATAATAAAATGTTTAGAATCAAATTTCTATCTTAAAGTTTACGAGAATATTGATCTTAGTCAAACAAAAGCTAAATCCGGAGTTGTATCTAACAATCGTTGTCTTGCAGCGAAACATTTATTTTTCATGCGTGAATGTCCAGAATTTCTTATTCGACATGATTATAAACGAAGAAAAGATATAGCCAATACACTGGGTAGAACAATGTTGGAAAATACTGAAACAATATTCAAACAACATCTATCGATTCTGATTGGAGATGAAGGTAAGATTTTTACCAGAAACAATTGAGCAAAAGATCTGTTTTGAACTTAGAATTTCAGCAGATCCGATTAAATTTTTTTTTTGGAAGCTAGAATTTACTTTTCATCGATTCTGAGCAGTTCAAAGCACTTGTCGTTGAATAGGTCTTTAACTGAGAGCTAGAACTAATGTCTGTTCGATAATATAATGCACTCGGCCATTTTTGTAATAACTCAGGAACGGAACGAGCTAGAGAGCTGCAGTTTTCACCATTGCGTAGGCAAATGAATACTCTATAAATCCATTAATAAATATTTGAAATTCTTGCAGTTTCAGAATTTTTCCGTCATCAATCTTCCAAAGAGTTCTTCGCCGTTTCTTAAAGTTCCATAGAAACTTATATGCATAGACTATACAAAAGATACTCAAGAGACTCCTCTACAAAATGACGCAAAGCCAACTTCTCTATCTCATTCCGTTCAAGAGTTAGAGGAGTTTTCCTAAGACCCCTGATTTTGGTCAATTAACTTCAGATTACTTGAAAATAGGTCTGAAGAGTGGTAATTCACCACGCTGAGTCCAGTTGTGATGTTTGTTTTTGGTTTCAAAGCGATCTGACAGCATTTTGAAGATTTTTCAAATTGCAAATTTTTCTGGTATTTAGCATAAATAGTCGATATTTCTGAAATTTTGATATAGTGCTGTCACATCGCTTTGGAACCAAAAAAAACATCACAACTGGACTCAGCGTGGTGAATCACCTCTCTTCAGACTTATTTTCAAGTGATCTGAAGTTAATTGACCAAAATCAGGGGTCTCAGGAAAACTCCTCTAACTCTTGAACGGAATGGGATAGAGAGGTCGACTTTACGTCATTTTGTAGAGGAGTCTCTTGAGTATCTTTTGTATAGTCTATGCATATAAGTTTCTATGGAACTTTAAGAAACGGCGAAGAACTTTTTGGAAGATTGATAACGGAAAAATCCTGAAACTGCAAGAATTTCAAATATTTATTAATGGTTTATAGAGTACTCATTTGCCTACGCAATGGTGAAAACCACAGCTCTCTAGCTCGTTCCGTTCCTGAGTTATTGCAAAAATGACCGAGTGCACTATATTATTGAACAGACGATAGTTAAGCGAAAGATTATGTTAAGTGTATTTAAATAACATCAAGGATAAACACGACTGAAAAAAATGAGTTTGAGTATAAAATCTAAAGGAAGTCACACTCAAAAATAGTTTTCATTGTTGAGTTTGATTGTTTCCAAGTAATATTTCTTCAACATAGAACCATTTCGTCTGCACTATACACTTGCTAAACATTATGCACAGGCTTTAACTACTGTACCTATCTTGAGTTTGATTATTCCGATAGCTTATCTCTCACCATGTCCCCAGAAAGCCAAAGCGTATCCATGAAATAGTAAAATTTACAGATGCCAAGTCATAGATTTATGATTTCGATCTAGGAAAACAAAATATTGACGATACAAGAGCAGTATGCATCACAGCATTAAGTTATCATATCAAATTGTTAAATCATTTTGCATTAATACGATCAATACGAAAAGAAATATTATCATTACCAATTGTTAATCAAATACTCTCAGTATTAGAAGATCAATCCTTGTTAGATACTCGTGGTCGTATTGATGATGCCAAGATTGGAATGGTTGCACAATCTTTAACATTATTGTATAACCTCGGAGTCGAACCTGAAATACTTACGACGTTTAAAGCGAAGAATTTGTCGAACATTTGTTTGAAACTACGTGTTGTTAAAGACAAAATTATACATTTAATGTCTCAAATGTTATTAATAATGCTAGACAAAAATACTTTCGAAGACATTTATGAACCGCATTTGTTATCAAAAACTTGTATAGAATATATTGAGTGGTCTTTAAGAGAACCTAGACAAGTATATCAAGGTATAAAGTTACATCATCTATTAAAACATCTTGAAAGTAAGTTGAAGTTTTCTTCAACAAAAAAAAAGAAGAGCAGCGTTTTTCATATTCTAGTTCTTGCTCAAAATGACACATTCAATGAATGTCTAGCCGAAGAAAAACAAGGAATTCCCGTTGTAACAAAATGCGTTTGTGTTCTTAAACCACCAGAGAAAAATCCAGAACGGAGACGATTTGACAATGTAAATCCAGAGACCAAATCCTCATCAGATGAGGACCGAAAAGAAATATTACAGCAAATACAAAAATCGGCTGTGTTTATTATTTGGAAACTTTCATTTTATGGACCGAAAACAATTACAAAGTTAAAGTCGAATGATTTGTTTATTGAGCAAATTCTAACACTTTTAAATGGAACTTCGAAAAAATCTCGACAAAACGCAAAAGCTATTATATGGAGATTAGGTAATGAAAAAAGAATACGTTTGGAATTAGCCAAAAAAGAAAAGACTCAATTAGCAGATCAAGACGACATTAAAGATCTCGATCAGTTGATTTCAACTGATGAATGGGATGAATCGGTTCCTTACGATATAGTTTTGAGTTATAGTAATAATGTCAATGATAAAATTTTAACTGATAAGATTTGTAAACGTCTTGTATCAAGAGGTTATCAAATATATAGTGAAAAACAAGGTGCGCATCGATTACAACGTATAGAAAAAGCAGTCGAAAAACAAAAACCTATTCTTGTTTGCTTATCATCAGCATATCGTACATCAAAGATGTGTATGGCCGAACTCGAACATGCTGTTAAACAAAGAAGTTCAGTTATCCCAGTTATTGTCGAAGCAAATTATAAAATACAAGGATGGCTACAACATATTCTTAAAGGAAAAAAACCTATTGATTTAACAAGTTTGGTCACGAAGAAGTTTAATGAAGAACTCTTAAAATTATTTGAAGAAATCGAGAAAACAAAAAGTTCCGATTAGTAACGATCTTACAGTGAATGATTATTTATTTTGAATTTATGCCAAATTAATGTTTAATAAGATGCTCAGAAAATATACAGTTTGAGACATTTGACTATCAAGGCATTGTGTGTCAACAAATGAAAATTTCAGTACGATTGCTTTTTTGATTCTGTCGTAATTGCATAGAGGTCGTCGAGGTACGCATTAAGTGTTTCGGCAGTTTCGTTCAGAAGCGAAATTTGAGTATCATATTATGTTCTCGCTCTGGACTAAACCGATATGAAATCTATTTAGTGAGAAACTTTTTAAATCGAATTGATTTGTCTTCGAAGAATGTCATTAATCCTACAGGAAAACCATGTGTAACATTCATTTTTCTATCTCGAACCGAAGTTCTCTTTTATTTTTGAGTGATGAAGCATTGTTCATGCACCTCGCCGCTATTCGCTCATTATTATGCGTTCTCTAATTCCTTTTTGTTCCCGCCCTTCTGTACCTCGATCCAACAAGTAAATAATCTTGTCAAATGCTGCATGTTTCGAGGATTTTCACATAGCTCCGATAAAAAAAAAAAGAGTAAGAGAAGTGCTACCGAAAGTTTCATACATTGACACGAACATACCTACCGTTCACACCTAACTATTCGAATATCTCACTGTGTACGCTTCCCAAGCATCTTAGATAGTAAATCTGTTAGTCATATTTGGCAAAAATGATTTTGCAAAATGTTCTAAAATTTTTGTGAATTTTTTAGATAAATCTCCTATATTGCTGTGGCTAGATAATTTTTTACGAAAAGGTGAGTACCTATTTAAACATTTATTTGTAGAAGTCTTGCACTAATCCTGGAATACAGATAGTTACTTACCTAGAAGAATATCCAACATCTTGCAAATGCCACAAGATGCTAAACATATTAGGATCCTCATGCTCTATATTCATTTTTCGTAGCCTAATAATTAAGAATCCGTATCTGAAACTTTTTATCAGTCAACTAAGACGTAAGCTGTATGCAGTGATTAAGCTTATCAGTTTTTGAAGAATTTGATTTGCTTAATATGGTTTAGATGCGATTTCGAATATAAATAGCATTATATGAGGACTGATTATTGATACCATCGACTATCTGTAGAAGTTTTCGACTATGCATTTGATAACTACGTTGATCATATACTATCTTTTTGCAAAGTAGAATCTAATAAACACTACGAATTGATTACCTTCATCTATTCCATCAGGGGATAATACAGATCAACCTATTGCGTTACATTTAAATATCAAAAAGTGTTTCGCGGGTACGCATCATGCATCTGTTTACGAGTATCACATGATTGTAAGTTAAATATTATATATTTATTCACTTTTCTTTCGCATAAATAGACTAATTCTATTTCTTTAAACAATCGAAATATGATTGAAATATTTATTTGTATGGCGTTATGCAATTGTAAGACATAAATCTATGAGTAAAGTATCCTATTTGCTAAAGTTCTAAGGGACTCCTTTGACTAATTATTGCTCAAGGAGAGAAAATGGTCGTTGTCTTTCTGTCATATGGCAATCATAGTACTATATCAAAATTACGGTCGATATTCAAAATTACGTTTTTCAATACAGAGACTATATCGATATTTCACTTTCCATTCTTCCTACAAGAAAGGTCGTATTAATTTTCAAACTACTTCTAAAAATGTACTGGATAAAATGAAGTAACATTAGACATTACACTATAGGAAGTGAATATTGACTATTTCAATCATTTCAAAATAAAAGTTGTTGTATCATTAACATAAAAATTGATAAGATCACTTTAGGTAAGTCTAACGAAGGAACGCCACGAACTGATAAATCGCTTTTTAAATTTTAGTGTTGCCAATTAGTAGAGCTTGTTGAGTTATTAACTAATATAATAATCATTCGGGCCAACAAAGCGTTTTAAGAGTAAATCTATATATGTAATATTCAATGCCTATGTGTCTGTGTGGAGTCAAAGGTCAAAGATCAACAAGAGTGGGGAGTGGCTAACCTTTGAGTTTTGACTTTGGCACTGACACAAAGACACTCGCCGCGTAATATCACTTTATATGGTGAGTGTCTTTGTATCTGTGCCAAAGTCAAACCTCAAAGGTTAGCCACTCCCCACTCTTGTTGATCTTTGACCTTTGACTCCACACAGACACAT